CTGTTGTTTGTGTGTGTGTGTGGGGGGGGGGGGTATTGTTAACATAAGAGTGTATAAACAGGTTATCATTGTTAAATTCAAGCAAAATGATATAGAGGCATGAATGTGTAAGTAGTTTAATTGGAATTTGTAACAAATTAACAACGTATTTCCCCATTTGACACAGATTGTCTGTTCTGGATGATGATATTTTTGGGAATGATTTCATTGGTGAAGTTAGGTTTCCACTGAAGAGGCTGAAGCCTCATCAGTCAAAACACCTAAATGTTTATCTTGAGAGGCCACTGTCGGTAAGCATTTTATTAATTTCTGTTAACGTGTTTGACATTTAAATGTTTTAGTAATTGCACATGTAAAAATTATGGTATTCTTATTTACCATGAAATTATATAATCACATTATGTTTCAGTTATTATTCATTCCAGTTGTTAACTTCAGTTTTTTTTTATAATAAATAAACATTTTTCAAAACTGACATGTGAATCTTCGTGTCAGGCTTTTCTATGTTACATTATTCACATTTAAAACTACATAATGTTCTGTCTCTGTTTTCTATATCTCTTATAAGTCAACCATAACTTTCTCTACAAATACTATCTGGTAAAGTTTTATGTCATAAAATTCAGAAATATACTTGAAGAAAAGTTAATACTTTGTTTAGTTCTTTTATTTTGTATAAGTTACAAATGTTCCTGTAGAAGAAAGAATACATTATTTAATAGTTCTGTTTGTATTGTTTTGAAATATTCTTATAGAGGACAGAATACATTATTTTATACTTCTGTTTTGTATAGTTTAGAAATGTTCTTATAGAAGACAGAATACCTTATTTTGTACTTCTGTTTTGTATAACTTAGAAATGTTCTTATAGACAGAATACATTATTTAGTACTTCTGGTTTGTATAGTTTAGAAATGTTCTTATAGAAGACAGAATACCTTATTCTGTACTTCTGTTTTTGTATAGTTTAGAAATGTTCTTATAGACAGAATACATTATTTTGTACTTCTGTTTTGTATAGTTTAGAAATGTTGTTATAGAAGACAGAATACTTTATTTTGTACTTCTGTTTTTGTATAGTTTAGAAATGTTCTTATAGACAGAATACATTATTTTGTACTTCTGTTTTGTATAGTTTAGAAATGTTCTTAAAGACAGAATACATTATTTTGTACTTCTGTTTGGTATTGTTTAGAAATGTTCTTATAGAAGACAGAATACCTTATTTTGTACTTCTGTTTTTGTATAGTTTAGAAATGTTCTTATAGAAGACAGAATACCTTATTTTGTACTTCTGTTTTTGTATAGTTTAGAAATGTTCTTATAGACAGAATACATTATTTAGTACTTCTGTTTTGTATAGTTTAGAAATGTTGTTATAGAAGACAGAATACCTTATTTTGTACTTCTGTTTTGTATAATTTAGAAATATTCTTATAGAAGACAGAATACCGTATTTTGTACTTCTGTTTTTGTATAGTTTAGAAATGTTCTTATGTAAGAGAAAATATGATATTCTGTTTTAGAACTACAGTTGTTGGCCATAGCCAACCCAAAAATTTCAGTTGCTCAAGGCTACTACTTCATGCTCGTCAAGTACATTTGTACTTATACAGTTGGAATGTATAAATGTTCCATGGATAAACAGTTGTTCATTGAGTGTTTAAGGAAATGTTAGACGTAAGACACTGTATTTGATTAGAGACATCTTTATGTGTTGAGAAGTTCCTAATCAAGCTGTACTTTGATGTTTAATAGTAATTATGCTGGAAAGTGGCTGTTTTAACATGTAAAAATGCTTTGTATGTTCTAGCTTTTACAATTTCTGAAGTAAGCAATATCTAACAATATTTATAAAGTACGTTCTTGTCCTCAGATTGACCGAGATGAAGAAGAGGAAATGGAAAGAGGCCGAATCTTGCTGTCTCTCATGTATTCCAACGACAGATTAGGCCTCACAGTTGGAATAATTAAATGTGCTCATCTTACTGCAAGAGATGCCAATGGTTACTCTGATCCTTTTGTGAGAATGTATGTAATGTGTTGGTGACGTTTTTTCTTTTATGAGTAATCAGCATTATGTCCTGGATGAGGTAGACAGAAGTAATTCTGAAAGTGTTAATGGATATTCCTCTATATTTGATGAATCAGTAATGTGACAAGATTATCAAATAAGATTATAGATATTTAAGATGAACAGTATGACTCATTTCATATTTAACATGATTAAAAATTCTTGAGTAGGTTCAGGATATTACTATAATAGCCACATAAGTATGTTCAGCTTTTTAGGATTTCATGAAGCTTCATAAATTGTAAATACTTGAGATTTTCTGTTTACTTATGTATAGTTTTAGTCACATCCGAGGTAGTTTTCATGGAAAGTTACAAATGAAAATTTGTTTTTTTTACATATCTTTGATCAGTGGGCCTGACATGAGGGTTGTGAGTTCAGATTTCTTTCACCAAATTTGTTCCTCTTCTATGGTTTCTGACTAGGCTAGCCACCCATGTTTAAAAATTCTTGGCTTACAGAAATACTAGCTAACCCTAAACGAGTTGGAATTAAGGTTTAAGGTCATAAAGGGTAAAAAAACTAATCAGCATTGTGATATCAGGCATAAAAGCTCATTTGGAGCTTAGCAGTTTAAACAATCGGTATTTTTGAGGCCCTCCTGTGGCCTTAACTATGTGATGATGATTGACAAGTTGATGGAGATAAGTACACGTGTCTTTATAGTATCAATTAGATGGTGAATTTTGATATTTGTATACTATCTACAAAACAATACATATATATATATGTACTTATCAGCTACTAGTTTGTGAAGATATATATAGGGTTTCTCAGAAAAATGTACACATTTTAATGTGGCTCAAAAAAAAAGTACAAAACCTGGTGATTACGAAATAATGAATCCATTTATTTAAAGTCAAATGATGAAAGTTTATGTTCCCATAATCCCCTTTTCACACCACATGTTCAATGTAGGCTTCATGTTTACCAATAATAGCCTGTATTTGGATTGCCATATTGTTCATCACTTCAGGGAATGTTTCCAACCTCCCTGCGGATATTGTCCTTGAGCTCATTAACAGTTCAAAGCTTAGCATTAGCATAAATTCTGTCTTTTAGATAACCCCATAAAAAATAAGTTTGTAGATGACAAATCAGGTAAATATGGAGGCCATTCTATATCCTCATAAAGAGAAATCAAGCTATGTACCTAGAACAATTATAAAAATCTACCTAGCAATCAGTATAACTATTTAAATATATTTTCTCAAGATTAAAATACAATGTTTTGTCAGTTGAGTACCCTTGCTGCTAATGATAATTTTGGTTGCAATCCCAGTAATATCTCGTGAGTTTTGGCCAACTTAGGAGATTTAGGTTATTCTTAAATGCATATATTAAGCTAACAGTTCCCAGTGGCCTGGGTTTTGGATGCAGTTGACTTGCCATGTACAGTCCGTCATACCCTAGCCACTCTACACCTATGGGCACATCCTTTTACTCTCACCCACATTCCAGTACTGTATGGGGTTGAGATTTGTTATATGGTGGGTCTGATGCCTATCCCATCATTGTTTTCTCTCCCATAGAGATGTGCTCCTTCCTTTTTTTTTTCCACCCAGGTCTACCACACCTCATTACATACTGGGGCGAAGAAATGTAATGTGGTGTTCCATGTATGATCCTCTCCTATGAGGATCTATCCTTTTATGGTGTTCTTCGGATGCTTTCAAAGAATGCTTCTTTGTTTTTCCCTCACACCAGTCCCTCCATCTATTCAAAGTGTGATTCTAACTATTTATGTAAGTGGAGGTAATGTACCATATCGGAAGTTATAATTTTCCTATACTAAAAATATATTTCCAATAGGTACTTACATGGAACTTTTATATAACAAATATTAACTATATGTAATAAGAGCTTTAACTAACACAAGCTAAAACCAGCCTTGGTCTATATATCAAAGTAGTTCAGTATCCAAAGCATAGGTGTGAAAGTTTTGAAAAGGTTTTGATAACTTGTAAAACTCCAAAACACATAATCTGCAGTAAGAATATTGTCGAATTAACGAATATTGGGTTTAAAATGCACAATAAGAAACCTCGATTATGAATATTGAAAGTGTGTTTCTGAGCTCTATCCACAAAGTCTTATAATGATGAACATATTATACTGTACCCAATAAACTAAGAGTAGTAAACAGTGTAACATAAGTTACTTGGAATATTCATATTTTGGATTGTAAAATTGATCACTTGATAGTTGAAACTGTCTGTTTTATCAAAAACATTAAAACTTAAATAATTGATTAATGATTTTGATATCTAGATACAGCTATTGTGATTTGTTTTAGTGAAAGGAATTTTTCCAGAGTGATGTCTGTTGGATAAATTTGTTTGGCTGTGTCTAGAAAACCTTGATAACTATATGTATAAGAATACCATCTGTAGACATCTTAGTGAGGTTTGTAATATATGAAAATTCTATTCTGAATAAATACCAGTCTGCAACTTGTGGGTTGAAGTTACCTCTCACTGGAATTATCTGTATCTGTTGAAAGACATGTTGGCCCAAAATACACAAATGTATTATCAAGTAAAAAATACATGGCCTGAAAGAAATTATTTAATGTGAAACAGTGGTAATTGTTTTTCATGAAATTTTAAAGGAATGAAAAGGAGTTTATAAGCCTATCAAGGATGTCCCTTCCAGCTTCCAAGTATAACCACTCCATCGTTCTCATGTATTCATCCAATCTTTTCTTGAACTCAATTAAGTTTTCTTCCTCCACCACCCTTGAAGGCAGCTCATTCCAAAAGCAAACCACCCCGTTTGAAAAGTAATACTGTCTAAACTGCAGACGACTCCTACGCTGCCAAAATTTGACCCCTTGTCCTATTGTTTTAACTGCTAAACACAAAAAAG